ATTTATTAATTTATTTACCCTTCGTTACCTTATACAAAAACATACATATAAAAAAGCAGGTTAAATATTAAGTTATTACGCAACGGGCGGCCTAATCGCTAACAAGCGATTTCTTCCAGGCAACCATAGTTTGGAACAATAAAAAAGAAACACCTACAGAGGATAAAGAATAAGAAGCAAATAATTACCAAAAACAGCATACAATAAGACTAACTATAATTAAATAACATTAAAAAAATAATAATAATAATAATATAAACAAAAATGTAAAAGCTAATTAAATGGTTAATGAGTCACAATTAATATATATATGTATTATATAAGTAGCTAAATTACGAGGCAAAAGATAAATTATCAAAAAAAAAGATTTTTAAATAAATTTAAAGTCTGAGCTTGTATGATATCAAGAAGTAAGGAGTTCCAAAACAGGATACTTTGCACAGTAAAAGAGGAGTGATAGAATTCAGTCTTAGGAGTAGGGGTTTCAAGGATTAGAGTACATACTTATTTATATATCTACATGTTAATAGATACTGGTCAAATAGATCTTCTTTTTAGAAATCGGAAAACTATACTCGTATATAGGTATTAAAAATATGTGATATTATGTTAATTCTAATACATATATAAGCGCATTATTTTTTGACAAATAAAAATTAAACACTTAAGGTAACAAATTAAACCAGCCCTAACATGTAAAAATTCAAAATTTACTTTTGCATATTTAGGAATTTATAATCGAAAAATAATGTTTAATTTAGTTACTCCACTGGCGAACTAAAGTCAGAGCACTAAATTTGTCGGCATATAATGAAATATATAAAAATTTATTATTTATTTATTTATTTTTAGATTTAATAAAAAAAAAATAAAATTCAACTAGGCTCACAAAAACCTGAAAATACCAATTTGTACTAGACTCATGTGTTTTTAAAAGAGGAAAATATAACCAATGTTTTGGATACACATAGAAGGGATTTAATTTCCCCATTCATACAATATTAAGTCCATTAGCATCTAACATTAATATATCAAGCCGTTATCAATTTATGGTCCCTGTGTATCGAAACTTGCTCCTCTGCATCAGCCCCAAACTGCACAAGTTCCTTCATATATTAAAACATTCTGATATTTAGTGCAATGCTGCATCGATGTATGCTAATAATACCGACAATTAATTTTATACTTGGCTTAGTTCTCTTGTAATTTAAATCAATTTAATGTGAATTGTTCGTAACGACTGTTGAATGGCGAATGTTAGTTTTGGCCAAGCCAAATTTCTGTATAACTTAAAATATCGTAAGTACCCACAAAATTATTGCATACCCTCATATTAAAATAAACATATATTATTAAACAATTAAAGTTCGACAGTAAATTTTGTACTTGGCTTAGTTCTCTCGTAATTTAAATGCATTTAATTTGATTTGTTCATAAAAATCGTTGTATGACTTTTTAATACTGGCGAACCTTAATTTTGATGAATGAATTTTGATGGAAAGGTAGTGGATGGGAAACTAGCAACAATTACGAGAAAGCATGTTCTAATAATAACAAAAACAGGACCAGCAGATAAATCTTTAAAAATTGTGACGTCACATTGCTGACATCATTAATTAGTTTGTTGTCATCGGCCGTTTAATTTCGAAATTAGAGTCTACTTTGGCTTCTACTTGGTCCGAATAATAATAGTCATTCAATTCAGATACTTTTACATTTAAACACATTTATATTTCAATCTTCTTTTAGGTATCCGTTTGCTCTTTTTTGGCAATGATCTCTTCCGTATGTATATATATATATATATTTATATACTACATACGGAAGAGAGCAATATATATATATATATATATATATATTTATATATATACTACAATAATATAATTATTTTATTGTTAAATTGAAATAATTAAAATAAATTACTAAATATAGAAATAGTTTTACTATAACTATAATAAGACAATATTCTTTAGCAAAATTTAAGGAAAATGATAAACGCATTCTAATTTCCTTCCATAATGTCTTAATTTTCCAAAATAAAGGGCAAGGAACTTAAAAAATTACGCTCGTAAAAAGTAGCAACATTGTCACTCCATTAGTGACGTCATCGCACACCGCTCTCAATCAATTTGCACGAAATCGCCAGAGAGAAGTGATTTTTAATTAATTTTATGAGTGAACATCACTGGGTTAGAGAAAGCATTAGAGTGGGTGATATTTTCCAAATATGTATTTAATTTAAAGGTACAGTAATAAAGAATTTACTGTCGTTGTTATAACTGTAGAAAATCTCTATAGAAATTAACAATCGTTTACTCGTTAGTTATAAATAAACACAAAGAAAACAGTACAATTAATGGGAATACAAAATCTTAAATAAAATAATCTTCTCAATAGTGTTCAAGTATTAGTTATTAGTATTTTATATAAAAATTAGAAACAATCATAATTGTAACGGTTAGTACAGACAGTAGTCCAAAAATGCTGAAGTTTTATAATACGTTTCATTATTTGGTCATGTTGAAAAAAATATTTTTTAATCAGCTACTGTATGTATTTTGCTATGCGCGGTCATCGGCTTCGTCCACGCACTAATTCAATATGGTGGCGTAAGCCATTTGCGATCGCTTGACGCATAGGCCGTGAAAAAATCAATTATCATTTTTGATAGCCTGTATCCTGGCATAGGGTTTATATGGACCAGATTCATAACGATGTTTATTATGCATGAAGCATTTTCTTGGCTTCAAGACAATCACTTCACTTGTTTGTATTACGGCTGGACCGATTTGATGCTATTTGTGTTCAAGTGGATTCAAGAATGGTTTATATTTAATATGAGAAGATTTTTTTGTATATAACACATTTGTGTGTACAGCCTTGCGATTCTGTAACTCATTTATTGAACTCTCACAGCGGTTTTCGCAGCGGCGGTCGCGCTCAAATCAGTCGTGAAGCAGTCATTTTACGGTTTGGCATTCTGATAAGGAGGGAGCTTGTAGTTTATTGTTTATCAGAATGCCAATTCGTCCAGCCCTGCGAATCATAAAATGGCCCGCCGGCGACCGCCGATGCGAAAACCGCTGTGTGAGTTCGTAAAGTGAGTTACAGAATTGCAGGGCAGGACATCGTGTGTCGGGTCCGCCAGTACATACCCATAGTACTTTTGTTTTTTTTTTTCAATATACGACAGTTCATGAATATAAACGAACTTATATTGTCCTACTAACATACATTCATGAATATACACGAACATATAATATATTAAAACTTACCTAAAAACCTCTTCCCGCAAAATACTTATCGTAGGGGTTATGGTAATTTTTGTATGAAAACTTTCAAAAGAAAAGTAGTTCTATAATTAATAAGATAAAATATATCTAAGCTGCATCATAATACACTAACTCAATTAAGCAGATCTGACTTCACGTATCGCTACGGCTATTGTGCTGCTCATAAATTGACAAAGTGTCCAACTCTCATGAACACGAATAAGTTTATGCTTACGGTCAGTGCGCGGGACATTGGAAACATGCGACACGATATTGCGATCGTGAAAGCGATGTTTTCCTATGAATGTAAAGAATAGTAACCCATTACTAGTGTTCTACTGTCAGTGGAATTAAAATACTCTCTGCGAGCCAAAACGTGTTTTGACCTCTGAAATGAGAAACTTCCAGCGTGCACTGTCCTGTGCCACCTCCCGCCATTTCAGCAGAAGCAGGCTAAACCCAGGACTAATATTCATCTGTGGTCGGAATTGATGAAATACTCTCTGCTACCCACTGTCTTGGCCTCCGAAATGAGAAACTTCCAGCGCTTCCTGACCTGTCAGCTGCCGTAGGTCCTCTACCCTGACGATCCAGCGATACCTAGGCGGTTGGCGGTTTCGGTCCAGTAATTCGAAAGTAATGATAGTTTAAAAAAAATATGTGTTTTCTTCGTACGTTATCTGTGTTGACAAAATAAATTGCATGTGCATTGATTTTGTGCTTTTAGTAGGTGTTACTTTAATCATGTACTGTAGTTTTCAAGTATAGTCTGAATAAAAAAATCGTGGCGATTTTATCCCATTAAGAATCTGTATTTTTCTGACGGAGGTCCACAGGCACCAGCAGTGATTTAGCGTCCAACTTGGACCTTGGACGAGCTACGGAGTCGAGCCATGCTTCTGTCGCTAATGAACCATGAATTTCTATTTGTTGTTGCTCAGGTAATTAACTAATAGGTCCCTTTATTTACCTTATCTGTTCATTAATAAAACAACAATTTAATTATAAATCATTTTTGTTGCCATTAGGACATTTGTTTTTGTTTGTCACGGGTAACCTGAAATCTACTGGACTGATTTCAAAAATTAGTTCCCCATTAGAATACTATATTATTCTTGAGTTATTTCCCAAATATTTTAATAAATTATTGTTCAGCCATATTAAGCCGGGGTCATAATAATGAACTAGTTAAGACAATTATAGAATATTGAAATGAAATTGTTCCTAATTTCCCTATAACAAAAAGTAATTTTAAATGAAATATATAACAAAACCTTGTATTTTACGTAAAGAAATTGAACAAAATAAGTTTTCAAAATATGTCAGCTTTAATTAAGAGTATTAACTCTCATAAAGAATCATGTAAAAAAAATATATGACTGAATTAAGGATGAAGGGATAATATATAGGATCATTATGTTCATTTAGCAACTATTTTTAATATCATGTACAACTAGGTGAAGATCTAGCTTATTCATTTTGCATTCATAAAAATTTGTTTTTATACTTATGTAAATGAAACGCTTAAAATTATTTATTTTCTCATTTAATCTCTTTAAAATTTTATTATAATATGTACAATATTTCAATAATAATAATTCAACAAGGCATTACTCAATGTATCTGTCATAATCATAAGAACATATAAATTCTTAAATACTTTTTATTTACGTCTTAAATATGTAACGAAATTTTTTACCTGATTTTATCACCGAAACAAAACAAAAATTACATATTCTCTGTGTTAAATGCGTGACTTTTCCAAAACTCAGCTAAATCCCTAAACTTTTCACTACACTGCTTTTGTCTTCTGGCGCTCTGTTTCATTGTGGGATGTTCTAGAATACTGCTAAATTTTCTCACGAGTGTTGTCACCGAATCCAAGGTAGACTGGTCTATATGTTCTGTGCTTTTGATGGTGCTCAAGTCATGAAATGCCTCCTCCATATGTCTGTCTATTTCACTGTCGTAGTGACTCTCATCCTGGACTGTATCATCGAATGAGAGGTCCGATGCTGATATGCTGCAATGCACTATTTCTGGGAGTTTGACCTTGGGTTTCCTGATACTACACGTCGATAATTTCTCGATGGATCGAAAAATGTCATCAATTTTCTTACAGATCTCTTCAACAGATGATGCTGAGATAGCATTTTGGATGCATAAAAATTGTTGTGAGGATTCCTTTGAAGGGTCATGTAGGTGGTTGAGGAAATCCTGGTAGTCAGCAGCCGTTTTTGTTGACGTTTTTGACAGTTGCCGGCCGAGTTTCCGTCTGACTTTCTTGAAAAGGAAGGATGAATCGAATGTTGTTTTCAGGTCGAGGCAGCTGAAGACTGGTCTTAGTTTTGGCTGATCGTCACGTTCGTCTACCTCCAGGTCAATTGGTATACCCCATTGTTCTTCGAGTTTTTTCCAATGTTCGTTTTCGGAGAGGATTTGGTCGGTATCTACTATGGAATTCATTTTAACGCGTCGCGTGCTGTCTCACAAATGCAACTGAGCACGGTAGATTAAAAATTTTCTTAACTATCTTAACATTCATGCTGTCTCGTTCTTCTGCTTGGTGCATTATGGGACGAAAAACGAGGTATTAGATGAATACAGCGCGTAATAATGTATTTACGAAATGGTAACATGTACAAATTAGTCACTATTATTAAATAAATATAAATATATTATAAAAAAAATATAAATATATTTACGATTAGATATAATTACATTTCATTATTATTGTGTTTATAAATAATTACATTTCATTAATATTGTGTTGATAAATATCTCAGTTCATTTATCTATACATATTAACTATTTATATACATTATATAAAGATACACAAAACACGGGCGCCTTTTTTGTGGACCTTTTTAGGTGTGGGCCTCAGATTTTGCCTTCTTTAAGCCTATACTAGATAAGTAAGTGTTATTCTTAAGAAACCTAATAATAATAATAATATTGATATTCAATTCCAGTAACTAATCCTGGAATACATTTGTGTTAAGTTTACATTGAGTCGAGATAAAGATTATAAAAAAAAAAATACTTATGGATTATTTTTACCTATTACATACTACGTATATGTAGGTTAAGAATATTATAAATACATACTTTGTACATATGTAGATTAGCTAATTTTTTATAAATAGTAAAGGATCTTGGAAAATAAAAAATGAATGAATTGTATAGAAGTTTCTATGTTATAGTATTATTGTTTTATTTTCTGATTTTAATAACACCAATCCAATTATGTATATCACAAACGTGATATGTATTGTCCAAGGCTGTTTAAGCTATTTATATGGATGTAATGGAGAGATGTGGACTGTGAGATCCATTCTAAAACAAGAAGATGCGCATTGCGCACATGCCGGCTTTCTTATCAAGACGCTTTTAACGTTAAAGAGCAAGGCGTCGTTGAAGTCGACTTAAGTACTTAGTGGACTAACATTATGAGATTGGATTTACTTGACTTAATGTCTTATAACCCCTAGATGTGTCAGAAGACGTCCACAGTGAGTCTCCATCGCGTTCGGTCTTAAACCTCATTATTCACCTCGCTCCAAGTCTTTCCGACTCTCTTCGCCTCATCTGCAAATGTATGGAGCCAGGTTTGCCTGGGACGGCCACTCTTCCGCTTTCCTTGCGGGTTCCAATCAAGCACATGCTTGGGAATATGATTGGGATCCCTTCGGACATTATGTGACTGGCTAATTATTATTAGTAAATTAATGTTGGTAGCCTAAATTTGTAACAATATAATACTCGCATTCATTAGCCTTTATTGCTGACACCCAGTACAATGTAATAACAATTATTTAAGTTACTTAAAAAAAACACTTAATTCTAATACATAAATAAAACTTAATCTAATACGTCACTTGACCCGTTTTAGGTAGTCAGCGTGTCCTGTGACACGTAGGCCTCTTCCAGCTGTTTCCATTCTTTTCTGATATTAGCTCTTCTTGTCCAAGTGCCTCCTATTATCTTTATATCGTCTGCCCATCTCTTGCTCGGTCTTCTTATCCTTTTTCCATCACGTGGTTGCCATTCTGTAATTATTTTTGTCCATTTCAACCTGCTATCTCTCGTCATGTGCCCAGTCCAGCGCCATTTCAACTGCCTTATTTTCTTTATAATGTCTTCTACTTTGGTCGTTGATCTGATCTCTTCTGCTCTTTTTCGATGTCTCAGTGTTACACCCACCATGCTTCTTTTCATTCCTCTTTGGCAATACTCGCATTAATATGTATAAAATGTTGATAAAATAAAAATTTCGTATATTTTTACGAATAATATCCCTATACTTAACAATAGCATAACAGTAATATTAACACACGTGTAGTTTGTATGAATTTATAGGAACATTCACTTGTGAGATACTGATTTAATTAGCAGCGAACCCGCTTTTAAATAGAGCTGTTTATTTTGTTTACCATAACAGGTGTAATTAAAACTAAGCGCTCATTATGGTAGCTGCTGAATGGTTACAGCCGGAGATATGGGTTGATTTAGATTTTAGACACCGTGGATTTAAAAACTACATATTTAATAATCAAATTACTTACTAATACCTACATATTGGAGCTGGAGTGAGTGTGAAGATTTTGGTAAGTTATTCAGAGTGTCCGTAATGTGTTTATTGTACTTAATTAATTTTATGAATTTAAACTCAAATGTATTACAGTAGAAAATTATTGTAGTAACACAAACACACACAGCCCTGCGATTCTGTAACTCACTTTTCGAACTCACACAGCGGTTTTCGCATCGGCGGTCGCTCTGAAATCAGTTGTAAAGCAGTCATTTCATGATTTGGCATTCTAATAAACAATAAACTACAAGCTCCCACCTTTTCAGAATGTCAAATCATAAAATGACTGCTTCACGACTGATTTGAGAGCGACCGCCGATGCGAAATCCGCTGTGTGAGTTCGAAAAGTGAGTTACAGAATCGCAGGGCAGTACGCCAAATATTGTTCAAACTGTGTTCGCTGTCATGGAAAGCATAAAAAATATTTAATATTAATCAAAATAGAAATTGTATATATTCTATAGGTATATATTTAATTTTTTAAATGTAATAGGAGGCAAACGGGTAAGAGGCTCACCTGATGTTAAGTGATTCGACTTAGGGCCCTTCAAGAAAAGAGCGTACCAATTCTTAAAAGGCCGGCAACGCACTCGCGAGCCCTCTTGAGGCCATTGAGGGTGTCCATGGGCCACAATATCACTTAATATCAGGTAAGGCTTCTGCCCGTTTGCCCCTGTTCTGTAAAAAAAAAGTGATACCGCCGCACATGGACACTCACATTGCGAGCCGCAAGTGCGTTGCCGGCCTTTTTCATTAGAGTCCACCCATGATCTCTTTTTAAGCGTATAAAACTATTTATAGTTTCAAGCCTAAAATGAACAAGCCATGAAACTTCAGGGTTTTTTTTAATTTACATTTCTAAGTGCCGCTACTAACTTTATAACACTAGCAACGTTTTCTTTAACTAGTCCTTAGCGAGTAGCTTTTGTTTGATGTGATTTGTTATTTATCTAAATTGTTAAAAATTACGTAAAAATTATACAATTAAAATACATTTATATGAAATGTGACAAAGTTGGTTTCAAATTTGAACTATTAATTTATTTTATGAAAACTGTAATTGAAATTATAAATTGTATGGAACTCAGTGGTATTACATTAATTAGTAGGTTTACAAAGGGCTGTTGCACGTCAGCGTCAGTTGTTAATTTATACGCTTTTCAAACAAAAACTTTTTGTGAACTCCCATACATTTGTTTTGATTTGAGTTCCTGTTTCAAAATATGAAAACATATTTTTATTTATACTTAGGGTGAACAGATTTTACGTTTATTATTAGGGTAGACGTTTTAAACTTGACTTAATGTCATGTAACCCCTAGATGGGGCAGAGGGCATCCACAGTGAGTCTTGGGCCTCGTATCGCCTCAAGTCTTTCTGCCTCATCTGCGTACAGGTATGCTTGGAACGGCCACGCTTCCGCTTGCGGGATCCAATCAAGCGCCTACTTGGGGATATAATTGGAATCTCTTCGGAGTGTATAGCCTATACATTTCCACTTGCGTCACTTGGTAATCGGTGTCTCTCGGAGCGCAAAGTTGCTTCTAAGAGATTTTTTGGGCCAGTAGATAATAATAATAAAAGCTAAGTTAAGCTAATGATAAATTGCTGTAATTACTTATACTAGTACATAAAAATGTGAAATACAAAAAAAATTAACACTAAAAATAAAAAAATTAATACTAATAATCAATCGGCAAGCCGGTTGATTTCTGTTATAGATACAGCATGTCCTTGGACATAGGCCTCCTCTAAAGGCTTCCACTCTTCTCCGTTTCTAGCTTTACGTAAAGGCCAGTAGATAATAATAATAAAAGCTAAGTTAAGCTAATGATAAATTATTGCTGTAATTACTTATACTTAGTACATAAAAATGTGAAATACAAAAAAAATTAACACTAAAAATAAAAAAATTAATACTAATAATCAATCGGCAAGCCGGTTGATTTCTGTTATAGATACAGCTTGTCCTTGGACATAGGCCTCCTCTAAAGGCTTCCACTCTTCTCCGTTTCTAGCTTTACGTAAACGCCAGTAGATACGGCGGATCAAATACAGCGAAGACAGCAGTTGAACGAAGACTTGAAGCCGCATTATCGTAATGGCTACTTTATACATAAATACGTAAACGTATAAGATATGAAGGCATCTAGAACCATCTAAAACTAACAAATTACTATTGTACTTCATAATGCTGTTCTCCTAAATCTTATTATTTATGTAAAACGAGGCAATTAAACGCAGCCAGCGCCGCGCGATGTCGTGTATCATACGATGTGCTCCGTAATCCGGGGACGGAATGATAATAACAAAAAACAATAAAAATAACGAATTACTGCACGGACCCGCTTGAATTGGAGGACGACGATGGACAGGGAAAGATGTGGAGCTGTGGATACTCAGTAGCTTCTAAATAGACACCGCGATACTGTTCCCGAAGTTTTTCTCCCCACGGTTTTGTATAGAACTTCGATGAAACAATGAACAAAAACTCATTATTGAGATCGGAGTCGCTGTTGACAGTTACAGTGTAAGGTCTCAGCTCCGATTCATTATTGTAGTATTCTAGAGATGCCGTCACTGTCCGAGCTTGTAACTGCTACTCTTACAATGTAATGGTGGGTGTGTAATAAAAGTAAAGGGCCTCCCCTTTATAAAACAGGACAAATTGGCCGATGTGAATGGCCTTTTCTGTGCCAAGGTCTATCCAAGGTCCACATCATTCGTGACGGCTGATCGCGTGGCTGGATGTGGACATTGCTACGCTGTTACCGTGTCCTGCCTCGGGTGACTGCTGGCGCTGCCATGGGGTTTTAGTGGGTATTTTAGATGCGGATATAACACTTTTTAAATTTATACTACCTCAGGTCCATCCT